CCTTATTTTTGGCAGCAAGAGTAATTGAAACTGACTGACCATATTCACCAACAGTCCCTATTTGTCAGGGTACCTTTTATTTCCCTGGCTGTGTTGTCCAACATGTGGAGGGGGATCTTTCCCACAGTTTCCCATGTCTCCTCAGTGGTTTTGACGCAGCACCTCCCCCTTTTATGAGGGACGTGCACACCGTGACATCACGGCCACAAAAACGATCAAATCCAAATGTTTTGAGGGTGTGGCTACAAAATAGAGACAAAGTATAAAAAGGTTCTTAGGGCATAGGTCATTGCCCTGTTGTGGTTCTTATTTTGATCACAATAGCACGTTATATTTCTTGTATTGCATTTCTGGTTCTGACTTTGGATTTTTCTAACATTCTACTTTCTATATTCCTGTGACTCGACTGTTGTTATTCGCTATCCCTGATTTCTGGCTTCCTTGTCTACGGCTTGTCCCTGACTAGTCTCTGTCATTGTATACTTTATGCATACGTATACAATGTATGCGGTATACATTTATACTTATTAATTTATTACACACTGTGTGTTGGCTCTCTCTGTATTCATGACATTGTTTTGGTGGGACTGTTATGATTTTGGAGTGCTGTCCCTCTATCCTGATTTTAGATCCCTAGAACTATTTTTGGATAACACAGTGCGAGCACTGTGCACAGACACAAGGACCCTGCAGAGAGTGCTTCAGTAGAACTCTCTGTATAGTCATGCAGGCTAGGGGTCAGCCGTACAGGTCAATTTAGTCCATCAGTGGCCCCTTTTTCCAGGCAAACCCGAAATCATGGGTGAAACCAGTGATGCAAGTTGTGTTACTGGCAATGCCCCCTCTTAGTCTAGTCCACCCATTCCAATCTGCATACCTCTTTCAATTTTGATTTATTGGTGGTAAAATATGCCATGTGGGCCCTTTAAATAAATTCCTAAGAGAAATGACCAGTTCACCCCCCAGATTGTGTCTTATATTTAAAGATATCCTGTTACCTATTGACTTAAAGCTCACTTTAAAACATTCCACACTCTACTTGGATGACTCTTCGATAACTAAAGGATCAGTCATAAATATTAGTATTGACGTGATTTTTCTAATCTCTATCAGCTGCCTTGTGGTTGGGTTGCATTATAAAATGGTAATTCATACAGCTTGCTATTGCTTGAGACAGGTCGGTCTCCATGTATTTATCCTGTATGTCTCATATACTACACTGTTAGTCTGAATGAAATACGTCCAATGCTGTAATGGGTGATTTAAAAATAAATATATTCAAAATATTAAATAATTATTGATATTTTTTCATAATTTTATTGATTTATTGATTTTCAAGAAGGCTATTCAAGATATCTGCATTCTGCTATGTCATTGTTAGCTTTTCTACCTCTAGTGAAAGGTCATAATATAACTCCACTGTCTGTTATGATTGCTGAGAGAACTTTGGCAGGATTCAAATGAACGTATGGCAATGGACATCAAAACAAAACAATCTGCAACAAAGTCAAAGCATAACAGAAAGAACTGTAAGCATAGGAAAATTATACTTCCTTCTATGACAACCTGATGATCAATCTCTTGGGAAAAAAAACAAAACATTATAATAAATGTTGTTATAAATTCAAAATCTACCACCATCTGAGTAGTGTAATAAGTCCTACTAGTACATATATATATATATATATATATATATATATATATATATATATATATATATATATATATATATATATATACACACATACACACACACTTTAAAATATTCCAATTTTCAATATATTACCTTTTATTCTTCTACCTCTCTGGAATTAATGGTTTCGATGCCATATGAAAGTAACTCTTTGAGGAAGTTTACCAACCTAACAATTGTGGTTTAAAAGTTTTAACCCCTTAAGGACACATGACATGTTTGACGTGTCATGATTCCCTTTTATTCCAGAAGTTTGGTCCTTAAGGGGTTAATTTACTTGACATTCCCAAATACACACACTTTGAATTACCTGCACTAAGGCATGATTGTTATGTGCTGTAAGGCAAGAAAGTGATAAATAAATGAAAATGTAACCCTTTAAATGAAATCTTATTAACCTTGGCTTCAATTAAAAAATGTTCAAGGTTAAAAAAAATGATCCAGTGCACATTAATTCCACTGGTCTATTCTTAACATTGATTACTTTACTCAGAACTTCTTAAAGCATTTGATTTTCAATAATGGGCTCAAACCCAAAGTTAGGTGATTAATTACTTGCCTGAAAAAAAACAATTAATGGAGTTCTGTTTCCTTTCACATAAGCAGTGATTACTACCAAATCAGCCACTACCAAACACTACATCTGAGATGCCAATAACGTTAAACAACATAACAGTATGGTAAAATGTATCAAAGTGCTTAAAACCTTTAAATATTTTATAGTTAATAAAAAATGTTAGCTTTCACTGTCCAAAGACTTCTGGGTGAGCTGCTGAGCCTCGAGACTGTAAAGAATGTATAAAGATATACATTATAATGTGGCGTTCTTTTACATTTCCATTAGTAAACCCTTCACTTTAACCCCCTCTATACCTAGGTCGGTGTTATTTTATACTTGCAAACCAATGTAAACCAATTGTTCTTCTTACAACCCCCACTTTGCTTCCTAATTGCATTGTTTCTTATATAAAAGATAAACAATTTCATGTAATAATCAAATTCTGTTGAATTGGACAATTTCAATTAATAAAGCAATCTATATACATACTGGTTCTTTTGTCCTGAATTTCTGTTCTATGGAATTATCCCATGATTTAAATAATTATTAAACTAATTTATGAACTAGAATATTTTTTCAAATACATACTAACAGGATAATTAACTACAGTGAGCATTGTCAGGAATTCAACGTTAATTCAAACCGAATTTCACATCTTACACCACAGTCATTGAAATGGAAGCATAGCTATTTTGGCCTTAAATGTTACATTCACTTTGAATTCCTGACTTGTAACAGTTTAGCAAATAACCCTGAAAGTAATTGAAGTGTTAATTCTCTAAGTCGATATGGTGAAATTGTTTCACCAATTAAATAGTAACTAAAAAACAGAATCTGATTTGCATGTAATGAAAATGAATAGGTGCAATTTATTTCAAACACAGCACAAAAGGTTAGATCATGAAAAAGGACAAAGCAGTCATTTTTTGCATTGATATCTGTTCAGGGACATATAAAAATGAAAGTCGTATAGTTACAATTTACTTGGCAATCATTTTCAGTGTTAGTGGTAAGGTATAATTTTAATTACTTAGTATCTCTGTCTCAAACTTGTTTTGGAATGCTTAGAATAATTTGTGCAGAAGCTATAGATACACAGTCCACTGCTACTGTGTAGGAAGAGGGGATCAGAGCATTCGAACGTGTCCTGAAATCCAGGTCAGTAAGGGCCAATATGTAGCGATAAAGAGGACAAAGTGTGAAATATAGAGTAGTAAGCAGATAATCTAATCAGATGAAGCAAAAGTAGTTGCACTTACAATTGATGGAGCTGATAACTGGCTCCAAATTGAAGTGCTTGGGTTGTACGATCCTGTGTTCACTTTGAGAAGGCCTATAAGATAGGAGTTAGTGTGTTTTACTTTCTGCTTTTATATACAATTTTCAATAAACAATAGTGTGTCATCTTTGGACATTCCTACATTTATCCTGATGATTGGTTCATCAGTTTCCTGCGTGGGGAACATACCACCTAGGCCCTATGGATTGAGCAAAGACATTTTTTGCTCTACAACAGTGTGCACATTTCTGTTTTATATTTTATATTTCCTATTAAACAGTGAGCACTTTCTTTTCATCTCTATTTACTCATATATGCTACTGTGAGAATTTCTGTTGCACATATCCAAGAGTGGGAATTCGTGTGTACCCAAGATTGTGGATTGTTCCACTACATGCCAGTTAGTGAGAGCCATCAGTAGGTTCTTCTATTGTGAGTGCATATATATATATATATATATATATATATATATATATATATTCACTCCACCTGGTATGCTTAACATACTACACTATATTGGTGTCATCTTATGTTCTTATTTTCATACTCTGGACCAGCCCCCACTGCATCAAGACATTGAGTATATCCATAGGCTGGAACTGTACCAACCAGGCACATCAATTTCAAGCTAATTATCAGCTCCATACATTGTAAGTGCAACTCCTTTTGCTTTAATTAATTATATTATCTACTTACTACACTATATTTTAGTGTACTTTGTCATCTTTTTTGTTACATATTGGCTCATACTGACCTGGATATGAGGTCACTTTTAAGGCGCTACCCCACTCTTTCTGCACAAAAGTTACCTCTGACCAGAATGGAGAGACTGATTTGGGTTGTCCAAGTTGCCTATCTGAGTATTTAACAAGCACTAGAAACCTCTCAGTTCAAAATTATACTAATTTTGAACTGTTACAGCTACTGACCATTTGGGAATGTAAATATCTAAAACCTCCACTGAATACTACTGATATCCAAATTATAAAAAAAATAACTTATTATTATCTCATTGCCTGCCACTTCTTTTGCAATCCCAATTTTAGATCATCAGCTGATTAATGAATGAAATCCATTATCATAAAAAGAACATAACTAAAGAACATTTGGAAAAATTCTCTAATTCAGCAATAATTTCAGTTTGACTACTCTGGCCTTAAATTCACACTGAATTCCCACTTTATTAAAATTACCTTGTATGACTATACATTGTGCTAGCATTTGTGTAGTTTTAAGAAAAACCTATTTAACATATTTTTTCTCCCACTTTCTGTCAAATCTTATAGACTATGTCAACTATTTGATTGACAAGGGAGAGTAGAAATGACACCTCCCACAGGTGGTTTTTCTGATCTCCACACATAGCAACCGCAACACATGTGCTGTTGTTCGTGATGTCCCCAACGGTTCGCGAATGGTTCGCCACGGACTCATCATTGAGTAAACTTTGACCCTGTACCTCACAGTCAGCAGACACATTCCAGCCAATCAGCAGCAGACCCTCCCTCCCAGACCCTCCTACCTCCTGGACAGCATCCATTTTACAGTCATTGTGAAGCTGCATTCTTAGTGAGCTGTCCAGGAGGTGGGAGGGTCTGGGAGGGAGGGTCTGCTGCTGATTGGCTGGAATGTGTCTGCTGACTGTGAGGTACAGGGTCAAAGTTTACTCAATGATGAGTCCGCGGCGAACCGTTCGTGAACCGTTAGGGACATCACTAGGTGTGGTTGCTATGGTAACTCCTTAGCACTGGCTTGGGAGTATAGGAATGGAATGAATGTCCCTTCTTTCAGATGCCAGCATGCTGGCAAATTAAACTAGCATGTCGTCATCATGGAGGAGGCTTGCCCTGCTTGAGGAAGGGTCCCCAATGCAGGGCAAATCACAGAAGTCAGCAGGCTTAATGTGGGCATATTGGAGGGGTGTAACATGAAGAGTAAAACCTAATAAGTTAATGGATAGGATCCATTTAACCTTGGGAGGTAAGGTGAATAAATCTCAATATTTTACACTGAATACGTCATGTATCTCTATGATACATGATGTATTCAATATATTGGGGGGGATTTACACAGCAGTTTCACTTTAAAGCACTGGTTCTTACAGGAACAATCCAACAATAAAGGAAAGCGCCAAGCACCATAACCACTATAGCTCACTGTAGTGGTTATGGTGCCAGGAGTGTTCATTGTAATAAGTAAAACCATTTTTAAAACAATGTACAAAGTGTTCCTTTCATAAGAAATATAATGAGGGGGGTGGGGCCAACAATGAAGCTGAGCAGACGTGCTACCTTGAGCTCTGAGCTTGATGAGAGGAAAATGTGGTTTTGGAGCAGCAAACGGGCTACAACCCAGCTAAATAACATACCATCCTGCCCAGGAGAAGGCTATGGGCATGAAAACAAAAACCACAAAGGCAGACAATGGTCCTACAAGATGAGATATCGGGGAGTTATTGCGGCGCTCGCACAAACCCCTATGGGACTCCTCAGAAGACATAGAATAAGGGGCAATGTGTGTTCCACCAGCCAGACCTAAGCCCCAGAAAGCCGTCACTGGAGATCCGGTTTCAATTAAAGAGTATGCTAGCAGAACTGCGTACCAACATCGTGGCCGACATTGCCGGCATCAAAGACGCGATAGAATGGGTCACCTCATGGATCACAAAACAGAGAGTTGAGTCAGCGCTAATCGGAGAGGCAGCAGACCCAAGCAAGGACTCCCTCAAATGTCCTTAGGAATAGATAAACAAAAACAAATAAATAGGGGATGGGTCTGCGCCAATGAACAAAATAAATAACAATAACAAGTCCAATTGAATCTATTATGTGGTCTCCGAAGTTGTAGGGTTCTACTTGTTACGATATCCAAAGGATGTGGAGGAAGGTGGTGAGTGATGAGAAAGATGATCCAAAATAGTAAAAATAGGAGAGGTCTTTCTTACAGTTGACAGAGCTTAATCCAGCTCTGGTGTGAATGGCTTACAGTGGTATTATCCCCGCTTACAGGATATACGGCGAGTATCCTCTTATTTTATTGAGCAGGCCGACTGCTCAATGGATAAAGCTTGAGTGGTATAATCCTCACTAAGGATTCTTTGTAGTAAAATTCTCACTGGAACAATAAAAACTCTGGTGCCAGGTAAAAGTAAATTAAAAAATAAAAAAAATAAAAAAAGAGTGGCCAAAATATCTTTAATAAAATACAGCAATTAAAATACCACAACGCGTTTCTCCCCTTAGGGCTTTCTCAAGTGGATACAAAATCCACTTTATCCACTTGAGAAAGCCCTAAGGGGAGAAACGCGTTGTGGTATTTTAATTGCTGTATTTTATTAAATATATTTTGGCCACTTTCAAATTGTGAGTCAGCCATTTTACTCTTTTATTTATTTTTATACATTTAGTGAAATCTTCAGTACTTTATGTCTCCTCGTCTTTGGAGTTAATATTGCCTCTGTAATGCTTATGTCCTATTTTATTTAACATGCTTTTACGTTACTTTATGAGTAGAAAAGTATTAGGTATGAGGTAGGGTCCATTCATTTAACATTAAAAGTAGTAAGGAAAGTGGAGAGAGGGTTTGCTTTCCTTTTAGAACTCACATATTTACACAGCATTGTTAAAACATATATGGTTTTCCTTTATTTTATGTTTAAACAGCACTAGTAAAATTCAAATGGCTTTTTTTTATTTTATGTTTAAACAGTAACGTTGATATTAATATAACTAAATATATATGTAGCCTTATTTATTTAAACATCTTTCCCCTATCCCATGTCCAACAGTTATAACAATATCAAAATAGCCTAATGCAGGGATGTCGCTGAACTACAACTCCCATGATTCTCTGGCTATGTATTCCATTCAAAGAATCATGGGAGTTGTAGTTCAGCAAAATCTGGAGTGCCGGAGTTTGGACATCCCTGGCATAATGCATATGCAATGGGATCGACTAACAATTTTCTGATCTTTGTTCCAAACTCAAAAGAGCTGACAAATTCCTTTCCTATTAGAGGGTTAAATATTAGCTGTGAAATAGTCTGAAATAGAATAACTATTATGAACATAATAGACGTCTGAGTGATTGGAAGTAGATGTCTTTATTAACTTCCATTAAAAGAACATTTAGAATTTATTTGATGTCTTTGTTGTGGTTAGTTTTTTAAAAAGTTCTTATGATATGAAGAATTCATTTTTCATTCTACGGCCTTTGTAGTTCTTGTGCCGTGATTATTAGAGATTTTGTTTGGCAAGTGAATATATTAACCATTCAAAAAGGCTACAGTCTGTCGAATAATAGTCAGTCCAAGTAAGTCATTAACTTTGGCTTATTTTTTAATGTTGTTTCCATCTGTTCCCAAGTTAGCAATATAGTTGATACAATGTATCATTTCAAGCATACCATTCTAAAAAGGTTATGTTTAATGTGACAATAAAGCATTTTGAGAGAGGACATTGTTATTTTACCCTGCAAGTCTTTACGTTTCTATTTTATTAATCTTTAATCGTTGTTCTCATTTTTTAAGGCATATTCTGTAACATAAAGGGTTAATTTTTCCTCCAAAGATGGCTAATAGAGCTTTTATTTGAATTTCTTCATTAGCAGATTTACCTGCATAGCAGGTAGGTGGCTGGTGCAAAGAAAAGAGTGGGGGTTTTCAGGTACCCCTTGATAACAACAGGGACCCTCAGTCAAGTATGCCAGAAATTAGGCTTTACATTTTATGTGATTTTAGAGATTCCAGAAAATTAGGATTTATTTTCTGTTGTGCTGTCACAACAGAAAATATTATTTGGGTTAAATCAAAATTCTGCAGGTTAATTACATTCACCTGAAAGGGCTGACTTCCACCAATTAACCCTATCATAGTTAAATATTACTGATCCAGAGGTAGAGAAGAGGTCTTCCCAATCAATATACAATTGATATCAACCAAAATGGATGCATCATAATCTCCAACCAGTATCATCTGCCCCATGCTCTTGCTGAGCTTGCTCAGCGAGACTATGAGGCCATGTATATATTGTGGGAGCTCACCAGTTCCAATTGACCCCGGAATTCCTCTGAGGCGTAAATTGTGGCGTGTTTTGTGGTCACCGCCTGGTGCAGTTCCTGTACTTGAGAGGTAAGGCTTTCAATTTGACTACTGCCAGTTTGCAGTTGTGTGTCTCTGGATGTTTCTCTTGTTTAACCCCTTAAGGACACATGACATGTGTGACATGTCATGATTCCCTTTTATTCCAGAAGTTTAGTCCTTAAGGGGTTAAAGCTCTCTAACCTTTTGATTTAACACCGATTTCAGTCTTGACAACTTGGAGGTCTTCCATCCAAACCTTCCGTAGGTCTATGAGAAGTCTCCTAATATGTCCTTTTGTTGATAGCGCTGTGTCTTCTTCTGACTCTGATGAGCTTTCATCACCTCCGGACTGGGACGTAGCCAGGGGCTCCCTTTCCTCCTGAGATTCATCCGAGGTCTCGAGCTCACTGAGGGTCTCAGGCGCCATCTTGGGCTGTTGCTGCGGCACTGGCCTCCCAAAAGAGAACCATATATCTGGCAGCAGTGGGGCTTCTGGGCGATATTGCCGTCGGTTTATATTTTGAAAAAAGTAATTATAAAAATGTATGCAAAAATATTAAATAATTTTAAAAAACTTGTAAAACAATATTAAAGGGACACTTTAGTCACCAAAACAACTTTAGTTTAATGAAGCAGTTCTGGTGTTCAGATCATGCCCCTGAAGTCTCACAGCTCAATTCTCATTCCTATTTTTGTTAGTATCCCATGCAGGCGTGTATGTTCCCCCACACAGTGCACAAACACAGATTCTCTAAAATAACTGAGTCAATGGCGTTGTGGGGAGTTGGCTAGTAGCTAGCCAAATTTAGGTTAAGTTAGTTGAATTGCAATAAACTTAAATTTTGCAGTTAGACAAGTTTGCCAACTCTACAGACTTGATCTGTACTTTGCAAAACTGTTGTCGAGTCACTACGACCCATATATTGGTTAAATGTTTATATACATTTTTTTTTATTGCGTCTTACTGTCCATGCATCACAACGTTATGTGGAAACCTCTACGTAGAGTCACAAGTGGAACCTGCACTCAACAGAATAAACTGTTCTAATTTCCTTCTATTTGTCAAATCACACACATCACTACAAGTACGTTTTAGATCTACCAGAACAAAATAACTTGGGAGTTAGTGGGTGGAATGTGATTAATTGCTGCTTTACAGACAGGGAATAGGCTTTCAGTAGAAGTAGTAAAGGCTAACAATGAAATATAAAGCGTTGTTATATATATGGAATGGAGGCAGTAAAGGCTAACAGTGAAATTGAAAAGGTAGTATTTAATTGCAATAGACTGTCTGAGGAAGTCGTAAAAGCTAACACAGTTAAGAAATCAGCGAATGCTTGAATGCACCTAATGCTGTATACTTAACAAATAATTAAAATCAGCGTAAGATCCCATAATGCACCTTTTACATGGACCGTATGGCTTTATTAGCTCATGGCAAAATCTCTGATTCTATGCAAAAACAGTTGATCTGTTGCTTCAGACTGTGAAAGGTTTTTGATTTTGCTGGATATGTTCCATATTGACCAAATCTCAAACTTAGTGTATGTGGATGCA